CTGCTCCCCTCAGCAGTGTACTTTGTCAATCTGCCTGTTCCGTGCCCCACTCCGTCTCTGGTGAATCCTTTCACCCTCTGCATCTCTGGCCTGTACCCCAGTACTGTACGAATAAATAAATCTTTAAAAAAAAAAAAAAGACAAACTAAGAAGTTTTGCTCCCACGCGTGTCCTTCTAGCTCACTCCCTGCCTCCACCTGCTGTCAGTGACTGTGGTGGAAGCCAGTTCTCCAAGATGGCCCGCAGCCCCTCCGTCTCCTGGTAGCCACACACGTGTGTGGTGCCCTCCTTCTCTGTTGGTCCGTGTGACCAATAGTGGGTAGCAAGAAAGATAGTCTGTCACTTCTCAAATTAAGTTATATAATGCACTCTGGCTGCTGTCTCTGGTGCTCTTGTTTCTTGGTTCACTCCCACAGAGGGAAGCCATGTTGTACGTGGCCTGTGGGGAGGAACCAGAGCCTTCAGCCAACAGCCTGTGAGGAACTGAGGCCTCCTAATAATACCTGAGGGAGCTGGGGACAGTTCCTCCAGCTCCAATTTTGTTTATTTAGCTTTTTTTTTTTTGTAATGTCTCTTTTGCTGTTCAGAAGCTCTTTAACTTGATGTAGTCCCATTTATTTATCACTTCCCTCCCCCAACCGTTTTTGATCCCATCCCCCACCCCACCCCTGTAAAGTGTCTGTGGTATATAGTAGATTTTTTTTTTTAAATGCTCATATTTGTTGTTTACAGCTGCTAAGTTTTGGGGCAACTTGTCACTGAGCTATAACTTATACTCCACTTTTATTAGTTTATTATTTTTCATAATTCTTTATAGGAATGGAAACAGTATATGTTTATTTTCTCCCCTTTGTTCCGCACATGGTGGTCTACCCCTTTGCCTTCTCCCCCACTCAGTGATATTTACTGGAGATTTCTTCATGTCAAGACTTAGTGAACTTCCTCTAATGCTTCACTGAAGTAGATGAACATATATTCATCTACTCCCTGTTGCCAGATGCTTTTCATTTTTACAAATAATGTTGCAGTTTAGTAACTTGAAAGTATATCTCTTCATATAGGGCAAAGGGATCTGTAGAAGAGAATTCCAAAAGGGAAGTTGTGGGTCACAGGTTTGTCTTGTAAGTTATACAGGTATACAGGCATACCTTGAAAGTACCAGACACTCCTGCATAGGGGAATATGAATTTTGAATTATGTACCTTTACTGCCTTTTCTATAAAAAGGCCCCTGCTGGTGATGTTCATGCTGATCTGAGGTTGAAGCTGATCTGAAGATGAGCTCACCTCTGCTCCCTTCTATCTGCACCAGATGCTTGGAGAGCATGAGGGAAAGGTTAGAAACTCTCCATGTGTTTTTCAAGCATGTACACAACAACATGTCCAAACAACTACTGATATGAAAGCTCAGGAGAACCCAGAATTTGGCCTGGGAGCCCCTTATGGAATGTGGTAGCTTGATCAGCAGGCTCTGGAGGAAATAAAAGCAGCCCTATTTGCTAGGTGAGCTCAATCCAGTGTGGCAAGGAAAGCCCAGGGCTTGGTGGGACTTGGGGGTCTGTGTGGGAAAACTTTCCCTATCTTCAAACTCTTCAAGGTGAAAGAAAGCTTGAACTGGAGCTAAGAAAGAGAACATGGCATGGAAGAGGTTCCAGAAAGAAGGGGTGTACTGGTGCAGGGGTGGGAGGTTGTCTGTTTGGATTGTGGCCTTAGAGATTTATATTTTATTACCTTTGAAAATGGAGTGCTTTTTAATATAAATTCATGGTGGGAAAAAAATGTTCACCTCCACAGCTAGCCAACTGTCTGTATTTTGGATCACTCAATTGTACTTCCATTCAGCACTACGTGAGGAGCTATCTTGGCCATCAGGAAATATTCCACATTGACAATGAGCTTAGATTGTGCCCAGAGAAGTAAATTGTGTTAAACTCAAACGGGAGGGCCCAACTATGCTTTGACTCTCTTCTGCCTTTACAATCCTGTTAACATCACATTTACTGATTGTCCCAAGATTTTGGCAGCCCCTCTGCACTGAAGAAGACAGGCAGGATTCGTGTTTGAAAGCTCACCTTAGAAGGCAGCAATGCAGCAATACTGGTTACATATTAGTCCAGATTACATATTAGTCTGGCCATGTCATTTGTTAGCATTTTATTTTGGCAGGTCATTAACCTTCCCAAATCTCATTTTCACTGTCTGGTATGTGAGAATAACAATGGCTGCCTTGACTGACCTACAGGATGGTTTGTGGGACTCCCTTCTGAAAAGAAATGCTGAAACAATGCCAGTCATTAAGTGTTTCAGAGACTGTAATAACTTCATGTAGATCACTAAAGGACTGCTCTAGCTGAAATGATTGCTCTGTGGCGCGTCTGCAGTCTCATACAGGTGTGCCTGATTTGATTGCTTTTGCTTCATAGTGTTTTCACACATTGGTTTTTTTCCTTTTTTTAAGGTTTATTTATTTATTCATACAGAACTGGGGTAGAGGCTAGAAGTGCAGGGGCCATGAGAGGATTCACCAGAGACAGGGTGGGGAACAGACTAGGCAGATTGACAAAGTACACTGCTGAGGGGAGCAGTGGGTGGGTCAAGAGAGGTCTGCCACGCCATGTGGGTCAGCTCCCTGGCTGGGGATCAAACCCATGCTGCAGTAGCTGCAGTCACTTTATAGTGCTGTGCTTTAACCAGTTGTGCCACAAGGGTGTCCCAGGTTGGTTTGTTTCTTAAAGATTTATTTGTTTATGCATACAAAACTGGGGTACAAGCCAGAGGTGTAGGGTCAGAGACATCATGGGGAGCAGAACAGGCAGATCGATGAAGTACACTGCTGAGGGGAGCAGGGAGTGAGACAGGAGAGGTCTGTTATGCCGTGTGGGTCACCTCCAGGGCCAGAGATCAAATTGGCACTGCAACACTTGCAGTGCTGTGTCCTAACCCATTGTGCCACCAGGGAGGCCTTGGCATGGCAATCTCTTTACAAAAGTCAGCGCAGGGCCCTCCCTGGTGGCGTAAAGGATTAAAGCACAGCACTAAGAAGCTCTCCTCAGCCACTGCAGCACAGAGTTCAATCCCCGGCCAGGGAGGTGACCCACATGGCCTCTCATGTCCTGCCCGCTGTTCCCCTCAGTAGTGTATTTCAGCGATCTGCCCATTCTGCTCCCCACTCTGTCTCGTATGAATCCTCTCACCCCCTGCACCTGTAGACTACCCCAGTTCCTGTATGCGTAAATAAATAAATCTTTACAAAACAGTCAGCTCATGTCATCCATTGCTCAGAACCTGCCAGAGGCCTTTCTCACTCAGTCTGACCACTGCCTCCACACTGCCAGAGGGCCTTGCTGCCCTCACCCCTGTCAGGCTCAGGTTACTGGGGTAGTCCCCTTGCCTTTCCTGAGCCACCAAGTGCACTCCTATCTCTGCAGTTTGCAACTGCTATTCTTTCTTGAGGATACTGCTTTCTCCCAGGTGCCATATACCCACTGGTCTCTCTTCAGGACTCTGTCACCTAATCTGAATACAACATGTAAAATAAACAGCCCTTTCCATATCCCAAACCAGTGGGAAGTCTCTAGCCCCATTAACCTGCTTTTTCTCCACAGTACTTACCCCCATTGGCACATACTTTTATTTGTCTACTGTTTGTCTTCCCTCTCATCCCTCTTACCCCTACAGTCAAATGTTAGCTTCACAAAATCAGAAACTATTTTATTGTTATATCCCCAGAGTCTACAACAGTGCCTGACTCAGTAGGGCTTCGCAAAATATTTGTTGACCATCAACAAATGTATTGATGGGTAATTAGTGAAGTTTAACTTCTAATGTTTATAGACCATTTAAATCTGTACATTTGTAAGTATTTTCCCTATCTTGTTCATTTTTGTTCCTACAGAGATCATTTTCTTTGTGTGTGCTCTACCTACTCAATTTTTTTTGACATATATTGCTTTTTATGTTGAAATGTACACTGCGGGATAAGGTACCGTTTTCATTTAAGGTATCTGACAGGTCTTTCAAGACTGGTAAGTCACTGATATATGAATCATTTCCTTCTGTTTCTCTAATTTCAACCGGATTCTCAGAATTGGACTCTTGTGCTTTGGGGAATCACGGCTGTGAGCATTCGTGTGTAAGCAATGAAGACTGTTTTGTTTGCCGATGCTTTGAGGGGTATATACTCCGTGAAGATGGGAAAACCTGCAGAAGTAAGTTTCCAGAGGAGCTGGCTGACATTACTTTGTCTGACTCCTGCATGAAATCCAGCACCTTGATTCTCCGTAAATCAGTTATTCTCAAAAGCCAATGCCACACTACCACTAAGTATAACATGAGATCTTGGATCAGTAAAAAATTACATAACATAAAAACTAAGGGAGTGGAATGAACTTTCATTAATAATAATATATCAGTATCAGTAAGTTAAATGTAATGCATCCTACTTATTTAAGGGGTTAACAATAGAGAAACATGGGTGTGGGGTTTATGAGAACTCTGCTATATAATATCACTATATTCTGTTTTTCTGTCTAAAATTGGCCTAACAAAGTCCAAAGAAAACAAAGAAATATGCAGACAAAAAAGTCAATGTCAAAGTTTTTTAAAATGTTGCTCACTTACGTTCCATGGCAGAGAGAAGCGTGTTCTAGTGTAGAGTGGTGCATCCTGAAATCCAAGATTCTGTCAACCCCTAGCACCACCATTTATTACCTGGACATGTTTCTTGGCTTCTCTGAGGCCCTGTTTACTTATCTTTAGGCCATCCTTGTTTCTGCTACCACAGATCCGTGAGCTGTTACCTACTGAGGGATCTCTTCTTCTATCTCAGAATGTAGAGCTGCTTAGATGAGGCCCAGATAAAATTTTGTTTAATCAAAGAGGGTGTGTTGCTCTGAGCAAATGATTTTCAACCCTTTAGTCACCTTTTTCTTGAATTTCTCAAAGCACTTAACAAAGAACAACCCATGCTCTTGTGTTCAAAGGAAAGATGTGTAACAAGTTATTACTTTCATTTTACGCCAAGAAGTTAAGTGTTCCCTCACATCATATATAACATGTCAAGGGCAAAGCCAAAATAACATTTCAGGGTTGCTAATCTAAAATGAGGTTTAATCTCCTAAGTAACCATACCAACGGTGTTTCCATTCTGACATCAGAAATTGTATCTGTAGAAAATTGATGATGGATTGCATTTTTATGAGAACCTGATGGGTAATGATGATGATGATCATGAGGAACTTTGAAAAGTTAGCTCCACTTAGTTTCCAAACTTCATCCTTAATTTTTTTCCTTCCCTGTTATGGATCACTCAGCTCAAGTGGCTCTTGAGCTGAGATAAATGGATCCTCCAAGGCAAAGCCAGGGGAAATTTATGCTGGTGAAGTTATTTTACTTGCTCTGCTATCCTTAGGGAAAGATGTCTGCCAAGCAGTAGACCATGACTGTGAACACATATGTGTGAGCAGCGATGAGTCGTACATCTGCAAGTGCTTGGAGGGATTCCAGCTCGCTGAGGATGGGAAACATTGTCGAAGTAAGTGGCCTCAAGGTAGAGATGAACTTTGCCATCTGTGGGACTCAGATGGTTATAGAACTTCATTTCATCTTTACAATCACCTTTTATGATCAATGCCCCAAATCTAAGTTCCTGCCTGGAGAGCTCTGAAAGTGTTTTGCTAGTGATTAGTAAACCCCTATTTCTTCAGGGATTTCTCAGTCAGGGTCCTGAATTGTCAGGTTCTCTGCTGCTTTTCTTTTTATCCTGGCTGTCAGTCCCTCCCACAATATATGCATGGATGCCCAGAGCCCAGCACAGTGCCTGGTGCTCATTGGACTGAAGCAGAATCTCTGCAACAGTCACTCTGAAGACCAGGGGCCAGGTACAGTGTTCCTTCATGGAAGACTCACAAGCAAGAGTAGAGGGTGGAAAGAGGCTGGAGGGGAGGGGGATTGTTGTCTGTGGGTGTCATTCTTGCTGTCATTTACTTCTTTAACTCAATAGATTCTGAGAGTTTAGTAAAAAGTATGGATTCTCCAGAGAAACAGAACCAATACAGGTTGTGTGTGTGTGTACACAAAGTGAGACAAAGTGTATGTACAAAGTGAAGGACCAAGAGACTGAGACATGTAGACAAACAACAATTATGGGTTTTGACAAGTATGATATTGATGGGTAGACCTACAGGTTGGAGACCCTGGAAGAACTGAGGTTGCAGCTCTAGACCAAAGGTACTTTGGAAGCAGAGTTCCCCCTTCTTTACTGGGGGAACACAGTCTTTTCACTTAAGGTAATTGTATGAGTCCCACCACATCATAGTGCATAGTCTGTTTTACTTGGTCTGTTACTTAACTGTGAAGTTTATCTTAGAATTACTACTATACTATAGCAGTATTTAAACTGGTGTTTGATCACACACCACAGCTTAGCCAAGTTTACATGTTAAATTAACTAACACAGCCCCCAAAAGAAGAAAGAGATAGGGCCACTCAAGCTCCTCAAGATGCGTGTTAGAAGAACACAGGACAGGGATTTTTCTGTTCTTTTGGAGTCTGCACTGTTAATCCCTGCTTTGAGGCCTTGGACACCATTGATTTGCTTTTATGACACTGCCTCAGAGGGCAGAATGGTCCTTCTTTCATTGAAACAAAATTAATTGTTTTTGAATTTGATTTGGGGGAAAATCCTCAGTTTCCTTTGAGCCATGCAGGGCACTCCACAGATGAGAAAAACTGGGTTGAATAGAACTCACTGCCCTCCTGCTTGCACCAGAATGAGGGGCTTCTACCTTTAGCAAGAACTCCTCACTACTCCTGAGATGGGTGCGGGACCTTGGTGTAAGTCTGAAGTCTATCCCTGTGCTTGGTTTTGCCTCAACACTGTGGTGTCCCTTCTGTGGTCACTGCAAAGAGAGAAAGTGTACAGTTCTACCCCATTAAGTCTGGTTTCTCATCCTTTAATTTCAGCATACATGAGCATATACATAGACCCCATTTATTCATCCATCACATTTAGCAATCAGATGAGCTATTGTACCCAAAGCGCAATTTCCACCTGGAGAATTGTTTGATAATCCAATCCCATTATTTTACTTCCTAGAAGGGCCTGTAGTTGATGCCTGCTTGATAGGAAACTTCTACTTATAGGGACCTAAAGACAAAAAAGAACTGCAGACTTTCATGCCATGGGGCCATCATGCCTTAGCTGGGTCATCAGATTGCTGCATGACCCTGTGCAGCTCTGACATTTGTCTTCATTTCTAAGTTGGGCATAATTATCTCTACCTCCCTTCTCTCACAGGATATTGTGAAGAGTAAATAGCAGTTACTACTTGGAAAAATTCTAAGTACCTTACACACAAGAAATGTTCATTAGCCAATGAAAACTGAAGTGTTTGAAATGTCTTTGGGGAAAAATCAACTTGGGAAAATCAAAACCCAAAATACCCCAAACAACCTAAAAATAATAAACCCAATTCTACATAAACCAATGTTACGGCAGTAAGAAGTCTAGGACACCCAATCACATGTCTTACTGCTCAGGTGAATAGAAGCCGGAGCTCCTGAGAACTTTCCCTTACTGTGCCTATTCAAAGTATTAGATGAAAAAAGTGAGTATGAGGAAGGTGATTTAAATAGAATGCACTTTTTAGAAAATGAATTACTTTCCCTTTCCCCAGGAAAGGATGTCTGCAAATCTACCCACCATGGCTGTGAACACATTTGTATTAATCATGGCGATTCCTACACCTGCAAATGCTCAGCGGGATTTGTTCTAGCTGAAGACAGAAGACGGTGCAAGAGTAAGTGATCTGAACTTGGCTTTCTGCTTTGATTTGTTTTGGGAGCAACTGCCTTTGGAGTCTTTTCAAGAGACAAATCCCTCACCCATAAATATAAGTGTGTAAATAGACATGAATACAAAGTGGGGATGGAGAGTTTAACTGTAGCACTTATGGAAAAACTTTTGTTTTAGTTAAAGACAGTAAGTTCACTATAAATCAAAAAACTAGAGTGTTCTCAGCCTAAGTAAGGATACGATCTTAGGCTGGGATGAGGGAGGGTGTACTTGGCTGTGCTTGGTGCTGGGAAATTACTCAGTTCTGGATGTCGTACTTTACGGAGAGTGAGATGGATCGAAGGCTTAAACAAAAAACAGCACCACAACTCTTCAAAGTAGCAGAAATAATCTTAAAAATCATTTTATAATCTCAGAGGTGAAAAGATCTTTCTAAATAGGACATTGAACATAAAAATTGTAAAAGAAACAAGAGGAAATTTTAAGATATTAAAATTTTAAGAGATTAAAGACACCTTTTAAAAAACCTATTATCACAGATTTAAAAGAAGTTTGATGATTCCTTATGTTGGCAAAGTGTATTTTAATAGATAATTATAAATTTATCACTAAGTTTTGAAATTGGCATAACATCTAGGCAATATTTTAAAATTAGTTTCACTTTATCCTATTGATATGTTCACATGTTCACAACTGATTAGAGATATTCGTGCAACATTATTTGTAGTAGCAAAAAAAGTTGCAAACAAGCTAAATGTTCATCTGTAAGAGACCAGTTAAATTGTAGAGTTGCATCTGTGCAGCAGATTACTATGCAACTGTTAAAATGAATGAAGTCTCTAGATCAATCCCCAAAAATTTTAGATTTAAAAAAAGTATGATCCTAAATAGTTTTTTGATATTGATATATTTTGTAAAAGGATCCTCCGATATACATTATTATGACTGATTGAATGATAGACACACACACACATTTTTTCCCAGTGTGTACTTCAAAAAAAAATTAAAGGAAGATCAGAGACAAGATTTTAAAAGAATAAGCATTATGGTGAGAAAGTTCAGTACAATGTAAGGTGAAAATAAATAAATTCAGGATCTTTATAGAGAAAAGAAAATTGGGGATCAAATACTTATGTGACAGTCACCTCACTCATGATTTATATGACCCTGCTCACTCCAGGTAAAGGACATTGAGGAGAAGCTACAGTTCAGCAGTAAGACAGAAACACTCTAAAATAAGCAGTGTGGTTTATTAGTTAAGATCATGAGCTTTAGTAAGACAGACTTGGATTTAAACCCCTACTTAAAAGCTGGTGTGACTTTACACAAATTACTTCTCTTTAGTCTCAGTGTCTGCACCTATTACATGAAGATAATTCCTCAAAGAATCGCCTTAAGAAAAATGCAGTCATGTATTTGAAAGTGCCTACCTCCACGCTGGCACTTTGCTGGCATATGCAAAGTGCTCATCTCGTGCTAGGTATTGTACCCACCAAGAGCTGCCCAGAGACAGGGCTCTCATGGTGATGTGAGGAGTTTGCTCCTCTTAAGAGTGTTGATCAGGTCCAGTAACTACCTGGTATGGATGTTGTAAAGGTGAAAACAACAGGAAGGTTACACACTCAGTGACCCTTAAAGGTCATGTCCAGCCCTAACAATCTGGGACTCTGAAAATTAAGCTCTGCAAGCAAATCACTATTCCATTCTTGTCTCATTGAATTAGCCACAGAAAGAAAATGAGCAAGGAAAGTCAGAGTAACTCTTCCTGCTGTCAAGTTATCAGCCATTCTTCCTGGTCTGAGAGCAAGTGTCTGGCTTCCATGCTGGCGCCCATGCCTGACCCAGCATTCTCACTGTCGGGAGAAGCCTCTGTGCCCTCCGTTGCAAGGAGGCTGCAAGTCTAGTCTTGTTCGGCAAGGAAAGGGTGTATGGGGAAGGGGACAAGAGACCTGCTGCTGGAAAGTCTCCTAATATTTCTGAATCCGCTGGGTTTCAATCTGCCGTGTACACACTTGTCTTGAGTCTTTTTTGGTTTGTTCAAGAAGAGACTAGGAATATAAATGAAGCTATAAATTGACCTTTTCCTCTTTCATTAATAAAAGATCAACAGGTTGAGTAACGAGGACAAGCACGTAATGGAGAAAGAGAAACTGAATACACACTAACACAAGCCGTTACAGTAGCCTGTTATTCAGGCCAGGCGCAGAAACACTTTTGCATATATTTTTTATTTGATTGTATTTTTTTGCTTCATTTTCAAAGATTAGATAGCTGCTTGATAGAAAACATTTTGTTGCATACTGTAGACTGTTTGAAATGAGATCATCCATTTGGGTTCTGTAATATTTTTTATATCTTTCCACACCCAGATTGCTTAAGTACTTGCATAAAGTTTTTACTATCAGCCACCTGAGTTTCCTGAAATGCTTCCCCATAATGAATCCAGAGGGATAATTCATTTTCAGTTTGAATAGCTCAGTAGGGTATTTAAGGTGTGCTGTGCAGTACATGCCACTGTCTTCATTTATGCTGTTAACCAAGCATCGGCCACATGCCTATTGGTGCCAGGCGCAGGGACACAGACTTGCATGAGACTTGGCCCCTGCTGAGGAGGGACTGGCAGAACACAGGAAGAGCCCAGCACATAGTCAGGCGGCCACTGCAAGTGTGGAATACAGCATGGAGTCCCCTGGACTGTCAGCAGTTGGTGCCAGGGCCTTGGTGGCCACTGTCATCTGCCTCGCATGACTTCCAAGCTCCATAAGCAAATGTTTGTTGAATGAATTGGTAGTGTTAGGGGTACAAGTAGAAACCACAAAGCTCCTCTAGAAGAGATGACGGCTGGACTGAATTTGAAGAACATCCTCGCTGTGTATCTCAGAATGCCCACAATGGGTGCTGTTGTTCTCGTGGGGTAGCCATTGGAATATTTTTGGGTGCCGTCAGACCCTTCAGTGTCCCTGCCCTTAGCCTGTGAGTGACCCAGGGTACAGTGTGGATGGACCTGATTTCCTGGACAATTTGTATCTCTTCTGTGTTTTTCACTTAGGAAAAGTACTGTTTTAAATCAATTTGACAAGCCCCTCATCAAGAGAAATGTAAAAAATACTGCTTGTTACTTTGGCAATTCCTCCTCTGTGTCTGGGTGTACCCTGGCGTCCTTCTATTCTTGTGTGCAGTGATCTCTTATCAGTTAATTCAGCTTTCTTCTCATTCCTTATAGGATGCACCGAAGGCCCAATTGATTTGGTCTTTGTGATCGATGGATCCAAGAGCCTCGGGGAAGAGAATTTTGAGATTGTGAAGCAGTTTGTCACTGGAATTATAAATTCCTTAGAAGTTTCCCCCAAAGCCGCTCGAGTGGGACTGCTTCAATACTCCACACAGGTCCGCACAGAGTTTACCCTGAAAAACTTCAGCTCAGCCAAAGACATGAAAAAAGCCGTGGCCCACATGAAGTACATGGGCAAGGGCTCTATGACTGGCCTAGCCCTGAAGCACATGTTCGAGAGAAGTTTTACCCAAGGAGAAGGGGCCAGGCCTCTCTCCGCACGGGTGCCGAGAGTGGCCATCGTGTTCACAGACGGACGGGCTCAGGATGACGTCTCCGAATGGGCCGGGAAAGCCAAAGCCAATGGTAACATGGGATGGACATGTGGCTTATGCCACTCAAGGTTCCTTTCCTAAGCTCCCTCAGTGGTCGCTGGCCATACAAGTGAGGTTTCTTTGAGTACAGAAAGTCTCCTGTCATTTGCTGTCATACACCTTTACAAAACTACCACCTGTTGGCCTTAGCACCACCACAGGGACTGGGGGTGGGGGTGGGGAGAGAGACTCTGGGGCAGGAGGAGAGCAGTTAGTACACACAGACCAACCTGACTACTCCCCTATGCAGCCCACTAGTCTGTGTGTGATCAGCTTGTTATCTGACCACAGAAAAATATACAACCATTCCCCAAAACTGGTGTGCTTGCTTCCAAACCACCTGAAGAGTTTGGTAAAAATAGATTCCTGGCCCTCCCTGGTGGGGCAGCGGGTTAAAGCACTGCACTGAGAAACTAAAGCCACTTCCGCATGAGTTCGATCCCCGCCTGCCCTGGAGGCGACCACATGGCGAGGCAGACCTCTCCTGGCCCCCCCGCTGCTCCCCTCAGCAGTCGATCTGCCTGTTCTGATCCCCACTCTGTCTCTGGTGAATCCTCTCACCCTCCGCATCTCTGGCCTGTACCCCAGTTCTGTACGAATAAATAAATCTTTAAAAAAAAAAAAAACAGATTCCTAGTGGGAAGAACTTTTACTGGGACTTTAATAATAATAATAATAAATCAGTGCCTCAGGTAGGCACTCTGAAAGTGTAGTCATAGCCTTGGGATAGTGAATACACTTACGTTTGCAGGAGGCAACAAAGCTTTTGAAAAAATAAACATGTTGGACGAGGTTATAATTCTAAAACTCGTGTTGCTCAGCCTCTTCCCTCTGGTTTTTCTGACCCACGTATGATGTGAGAAAGCACTGAGATTTCTTTAGTTGTGTGTAGCATGAGTGTGCTGGGGCTTTTGGGAAACTGAAATCCAAAGCGAGAGGGGATGGTCGAGCCAGTGTAAGGTCAAGTGTCTGGATCTCCTGGGGCAATGAAAACTGGAGATGTCCACGCATTTTACTTAAAAGCTACTTTCACTAAAGATTTGTTGAGGGCACATTGCTTTAAGAGGTCGTGGTAGAGGGAAAAGGATGCACACAGATGATGCATCATTACCGGGATGGCCCCAGAGCCTGCATCAGACCTGTCATAGAATGTGCATGACGCATCCTTGCTGAACAAAGGAGTGAAGGTACCAGAACCCCATCAGTGAACTCCTTTTGTCCCCACAGAAAGATGGTTCCCGTCAGCGTCAGTCACTCTCTTTGTAACAGGAAGCCTTTCCACACTCACTATTCATTCTGCTTCACCTGGCCTTGTAGAGTAATAGCCACAGAAGTCATGACATTCTCCTTTTCAGCTTAGCACCTCCTCACAAGACTTCATCCTTTCAAGAATGTTGGGAGCATGCAGCTTTGCTGGGCCCCTGGTTGCTTAAGATTTTTATTCTAGACCTCTGAAAGGCAGAAATTATGTTACAAGGTCATAAATTAACTTGCTCATTAGAATTCTCCCAGAAGAAAGTCCCATTTACTTATTTATTTTTAAAGATTTATTTATTTATGCATACAGACCTGGGGTATAGGCCAGAGGTGCAGGGGATGACAGGATTCATCAGAGACAGTGGGGAGCAAAACAGGCCAATCTACTGAAGTACACTGCTGAGGGTAGCAGCCAGAGTGTCAGGAGATATCTGCCTTGCCTTGTGGTTCACCTCCCTGGCAGGGGAACGAGCTCATGCTGCAGTGGCTGTGAATAGCTTCATAGTGCTGTGCTTTAACACACTGCACCACGGAGGGCCAACATTCCCTTTAGTAAGCCATAAGATGGTGCTCTTTACTCTATTCACAAGGCTAATTCAAACCAAAGTGATGACTTAAGTGAACTTGTTTTGTGCTGAGCAACACAGGTTGGTGATCTAACTCCCCTGGCCTCTCCTAGATGCTTCAGTTTCCTGTCTTGGATCTTTCTCTTGCTCATAAGGTCAAAATTTAAATGGTGGGAAAATAGAAGCATTGTTTACACCGACTTCTGAAATCACCTCACATAGTATCTAGCTGCTTTGCATGTAGTACACACAACTTCCAGACCCGGGATCACAGTTCTAATTTCCTTGTTCTTAATATGCTCTGCCCCTTAGGTGTAACTATGTATGCTGTTGGGGTAGGGAAAGCCATTGAGGAAGAACTGCAAGAGATTGCCTCCGAGCCTACGAACAGGCATCTCTTCTATGCTGAAGACTTCAGCACAATGGCCGAGATAAGCGAAAAGCTGAAGAAAGGCATATGTGAAGGTACTATAACTTACATCTAGGCGAGCTCAGCTAACAGGGCAGCAAGAACCTTGAATGAGGGCTTCTCTCCCCACTCTATCAGTGCTCCAAAAAGTGCCTCTGTGGAGGGTGACACTTGCTCTTAGAAATCCTAAGGACAAAACATGGAACGGGGAGAATACAAAAGTGATAGCTAACATTGCTTGAATGCTTACTGTGTGCTAAGCAGTATAAGTGTTCTGACAATAGCAGAATATTTAATAAAGATGACTATTTCACTAAGATACAGCCATTATACAAATCAGAAGAGCCACTGCCAATTTCAGGATGTGCCTTCCTTCGTGGACTACTTTTGTTTACGGAAGTAGTAGCGCTCGTTAGAACTTGGATTGTTTTTCTGTACAAGTGTTCTCCACGCCTTCCACCATTCTCTCATTGTGCCAGCTATGATTATATATAGCAATTCTGCCCAGTTTTCCTTTTCCTTATGTTGCAGGTTCAGTCACCAATAACATCCCAGTCTACGGGATGTGCCTGTCTCCTCTAAAGAAAACAGACAAACAAAACAATTACGACAAAGGGAAGCGTTTCAGATTTCTAATGCTAGCAATAATTAATATTCTGTTTGGCTCAAGTTGAAATACTCTCAAGTGAAGATGCTGCCAGTTCAGCTTAATCTTTGGGCAACTTGAAACTTTATTCCTACCCTGCCTTCCCTATGCCACTGGGGAAGAAGTAGTGTTCTTATGGGAAAAGATGCAATAATACGTCCAAGTTCCTCTAACTGGAGAGAACTAGAACTGTCCTTGAGTAATTCTGGATTGTCATCCAAGTAACCAGTTGCTTTTCTGTCTGTGGTATTACCAAATAAAACCAAATATCTTGGGCTATGGGAGATAGACAAGGAGTTAGTCTGGGATGAGTTTTCCAAAGGGCCTGTGCCTACAGGTGGACAATTGTCACTCCTCTTGGTCTTTTTCCTCTCAGCTCTGGAAGACTCAGGTGGAAGTCAGGATTCCCCAGCCAGGGAACTGCCAAAGAGGGTCCATCAGCCAACAGGTAATTTTTTTTGAAGCAGTGTTTTTAGACCCTTGAGTGGATGCTTCCACCATGCTTTCCTCCCAGACAGTTGTAAAAAAGTAAAAGTAAGATTTTAATTGTCAATAATGACTTTTTTTCTATCTCTACCTGATAGGAAACAATTCGCTACACTTTTTAAGCCATAGTTAGAAATAGTCTCTCTGCTGACAGCCAGTTTGCTACAGTAAGTTCCAAAGTAAAACTGTATCACATAATAGGAATACCATAACCTTACTCTGACCACTGAAGGTTGTTTTATTACCGTAACTGTATTAGGCAGGTTTCACTTCAGTTTTCTTTCTCTTTACAGAATCTGAGCCAGTCACCATAAATATCCAAGACCTACTTTCCTGTTCTAATTTTGCAGTGCAACACAGATATCTATTTGAAGACGACAAACTTTCACGGTCCACACAAAAACTTTTCCATTCAACACAATCTTCAGGTAATTCCAAGTAAAATATCACTGTAAAGTAACTTAAAAGTCTCTCAGCTCATGAACAAACTAAGCTTAAAGGAGGCAAGGAGAGGAGGAAGCAGGAAATGGGATGTGGAAAAGAGAACTCACGTGAGAAATAAAAAAATAAACTGAAAGAAATAGTACTCTTCCCCCAATCCACAGTAAAGGCCATTTCCCTTGTTGGACGCATATAAATCACTTTCCTGGTATTTACTGGATCTGGCCACATGGAAAATGTTGAATGTGTCTTTCACTACGGTTTCCTTCATATGCTGATTCAGTCTGATTTTATGCATTTGGGAAATTTGGTGGGTTATAGAGGTAAAGGCTTTCCATCTGCTTTCTCAGGAAGTCCTTTGGAAGAAAAACATGATCAATGCAAATGTGAAAACCTTATAATGTTCCAGAATCTTGCAAATGAAGAAGTAAGAAAATTAACACAGCGCTATATCCTTTGCTAATATCATACTTCTGTGTGGAATGCAGAGAATATCATCAAACCTTCACAAATATTGTAAGTGGGCATATGTCAGATGACATCATTTACATGAAGTCAAGAATAATGAATGCAGGAAAGTTTTTTACTTAGGCAGTTGTTTGCAACCCAAAGGCAGGCCAAGATTAGTGGCTATCTGCTGTTCTAGATCATGTAGCAGTAAGGCCAGTCAGTCAGTCTGCAAAGAAAATACAAATTTATTTAACTCCTTTGATGCTGGGAGGAAATGGGAAAGATATGTCTAGCCTGAAGTACATCATTGGTATACTGTGAACAGCAAAGAATGTTTTCAAATGGATAATTTTCAAACTTCATCTAAACTCAAGCCATTCCTCTGGCCACAAGATACACTAGAGCCACACTGGTCATGTGTGGTTTCCAGAAGAGGACTGGGTTGGTTTGGATTTTGGATTTTGAGGGGTTGGTCAGGCAGCAATGATCTTTTATATCAGCACTATAATATGTGAAACATGCTACCAGGGAAACAGCAGTATCCAATGAGTTATTAAAACAATATTACAAGTAAAAGGAATGCTTATGGAAGAAGTAAGGGATTTGGTGATTTTACACACACACTGCCAGCTGCTCTGAACTAAAAATTAGCTTACTAAAGCCAGCTGCTATCTGCCTCAACATGCATCAACTGTCTGTAGAGAGATAGTGTAATGTGAACTATCTCTGTGCAGTGGGTTAGTATAATAAGGAACAGAATATAGCAATCCCCTTTCTGAAAGCCAGAAATATGCTGCTCCTGAGTAAAATAACCAAACAGTGGTTGTAGAGGATGAATCTGGGCTCTCTTCTGCCACCAAGGGGCAGGTGGAGGGTATTAGGCTTACAGGGAGGAGGGAAAGCTGCCTCTAATTACGCTGCTACGCCCCTTCCTCCCCCTTTCCCACACTACCTCTGAAAGTCCATTTCACAGGAGACCAAGTCAGTTAAAAGAAAGCATAGGTCAGCACTCTTCAAGGCTTCTCCCATCAACGCCTCAAACTCCCCATCTGCCTTCTCTTCCGATGTCCTATCTTCCAAGTCCTGATCTTTCCCTTTCTTCACCTCGTTGCCAACATTATCAATTCTGGGTGTGGCAAATTAATTTATAAACATTAGGGGTGTACAACTAAAAATTACCAAAAAAAAAAAAATTGGACTGATGTTAGTAAAGTACTTAACCTGAAATGTATTTACAGTGCTGATACCATGTTAATATAAACTTACAAGTCAGGGTTTTAAAATGCTTAACAAAATGGGGGGGGGGACTTATTTTTCAGGACAGTCCCATTTTTATGTAAGTAAATCAAGTGGTATTTGAATGTAAATAAAACTAGGCAATTCAGATTTCTCTTCCTTAATTTGAGCTGTACTAGAAGAAATGACACAGAGAATGGAAGCCCTGGAAAATCGCCTGAGATACAGATGAAGATCAAGACGCTCTACATGTGCCCACGTCTGGATACATGTCACTGTGTCCAGGATTACAGTGAAAGCAGTTCAGGGCCCCAAAGTTCAAGTTATTATTGATTCTGTAAAGTAAAACATAACAAGTACTAAGAAAGCTGGTTTGCAATAGGAAGGGCCAAAGTAAGCATTAACTTGTACAAATTTGAGAAAAAATCCTGAATCCTAGAATGTTTACCAAGAGAATAAGCTATGCAAGGTATTGTGACATACTGTGGACAGGATTTGCTTTTGTCTCCTGCCTTAGAGTTGTGATCTTATTTGACTATAAAATGAAAGTTTGCAGTCTTACTTCTCTAGAACTACTGGCCATGGGAAAGCTATTTTTTGTATATGTATATGGATGTATGCATAAAATCATAGGATAGATGTACTTGTATAACAATTTGAATTTTTATACAGTATTAAAATGCACCATTTCAGAGAACGGTATCCTATATGAAATTTTTAGCCTAACTTTTTTCTTTCATGGGATAATCACTTCTATATTTTGAGGCAAGCAGGCAGGCAGGCAGGCTGGCTAGAGGAGGGAGAAGGAAGGAAGGCAGATCTATCAGCAAATCTCACAGCACTTGTAATATAAAAGTGTCCTTTCCTGAAGTTCTTTGTGGGGGAGGGTAGTCCTAGGGGCATCTTTCACTTAAACCCCCCAAGGAAGGCAAAGAGGGAAAGAGGGAAGCTGCTTTGGGCTTCCCAGGAAAGTATGCCTGCCATGGGAGGCCTGATCCATACCCGCGGACCCTCGTGGACCAAGGTAGGTCTCGCTCCTCCAGTGCCTTCTGGTGTCTTTGCAGAGCTGGTCACCTCTGTTTTCCTCCCAGCACAGGGAGGGTGTCGATCTTTCTCATGGTGGTGGTCCTACTCTCCTGTATATCCTGTACACAGCTTACTAGACTCTTTCTGGCTGGAACTGGTTGAAGGCAGTTTGATATGTTTCCATTTCTGGCTGGATCTAGTTTGGGCCAGCATGAACTGTTGAGCATAGAGGCAAAGCCCAATTGGGTTGGCTCACTGGCCAACCCAAATCTAAGCCAAGCTGGTTGACCACCGGAGCCTCCAGGATGACCAGATCTAGCTAGCTGGTCAACTTTGGTGTATGGTCACAGAGGCCAAGGCCTGCTGGCAGACTTCTTGCCCCCCACACCCCCAACCTAGTGAGCCTGCAGACCAAGCCTGGTTGGGTGGTCGACCTTGCACTTAAGAGCTGCAAGGCCCCAGAGTCCTGAGTCCAGATGGCTGAGGCTTTCTGCTGGTCCCCATAATGGGTAAGATGAAGGCCGGCTGGTATACCTCAACTGGAAGCTCTTGGGGATGAAGCCCAAGGCCCACTGGCTGATGGCTCGCCACTGGGCCCTCGAGCCTGCAGGCCATGTCCAGATCTATGCCCTGTTCCAAGTCTGGCTTTTTGGTCAAACTCTGACTTGGAGCCACAAGGCCAGACACTGGTCTCTTAGTTTAGCTTTAAATGCCAAGTATATATACAAGAGAAATAGCCAATAAGCTTATTTAAAAAGTTTAATTTCTGACACTCAAGATTAGGTTTATTTAAAATGATTGCCTTGGCACAAATTAGTATGTCTGATGGAACTGTTAAGAATGTAGAAATATGGGGCTTATGTATACTGCTGAGAAAGCAAATGGACAAGCTTTTGGAGGCTAATCTGTCTAAACTCAGAAAATCCCTTTCATCTAGCCACTAAATCATCTAACTAGGGGGTTTGAGCACATACAAGTATTTTACAGGAGACCTGTAAAAGAAGTTTGTAAAAACAAAAACTAATCATCATTGGGAAAGCAAATTGTGACATACTCAGTCCCTCAAAAATACTATAAATACTATATATTTCAAAAAGACCCAGGCAGCACCACTTCCTGTGGTCAGCTGGGATACCCCTGCCCTGAACTACTTGCCCTGAGAGCCAGCCCCAACCACATCATGGGCCTATGACCTGGCAGGCTTCTGCCACTTGGAGGATCTTTTTTGCCCCTGGGCAAATTCCTCTACCTATCAGGAGGAAAGCTGTAACAGTGACAGGGTAGGGCTTTGGGGTGGGTAGTAAGAATATATACAACTAACAGCCATCCACTACATCTACTACATCCACATGCATCCAGCGTAAAACTCAAAGATAAATCTAGAAAGTCAATGGTAAAATGTATTTCTGTACTTTTCATGCCATTTCTGGAAGAGAAAAATATCATTTGATCAAAGACACATATACACATATTAAGTACAAATGTCCTGGTAGGGTATGCTCCCGGTTTCAAAATAAAGAAGTGAGACAGAGTCGAATGAACACCTGAACTCTATTTCATCAGCTCAAGGCACCTAAAGCAAGAAACACAAGTAGCAATTTCATTAAGAAATTAAAAAAGGGAGCCCTCCCTGGTGGCGTGACAGGTTAAAGCAAGCGCAGTACCATGAAGCTCACTGCAGCTGCTTCAGCACAAGTTCACCCCCTTCACCCCCACCTCTAGCCAGGGAGGTGACCACATGGCGTGGCAGACATCTCCTGACTCGCCCGCTGCTCCCTTCAACAGTGTACTTCCTCCATCTGCCTGTTCTGCTCCCCAATGTCTCTGGTGAATCCTCTCACTGCCCGTGCATCTCTGGCCTGTACCCCAGTTCTGTATGCATAAATAAATCTTTTTAAAAAAAGAAACTCAAAAAGACATCCATCCAGGGAAGCTACTGTATCCTGGAAGCCAGAGAACACTTCATAAACAAAACACTGAATATACTTAAGAATTTCAAGACAAGCCTTCCCATCAAAGTTCTCCCCAAGGGCAGCGTGCTAGAATGGAAAGCATATCCCTTAAGCCTATTTTGTCCGAAAATCACAATTCTTTCCATGTCTAAAAGTTGACTCAAAATAGTACATCTTCAGTTTATATTTACAGTAGAATCATCCACTTGATAGTGAAGATTCTCATGAGAAAGTGAAATACTGATTTGCGTTGGCATTACCTTTTGAGAAGTAAAACTTCCATTTAGTTTACTTCTACTTCACTAAACTGCAGAATCCCTGCTCCCTCTAGTGGCTGTGTAGACAGTGGTCAGCTTACTTAAGATATTTAATTCATTTCATCTTAAGATTTTCTCTCATTTCTGGCCAGGGGAGAAAACTGGTTTAACCTTCTGAGAAGCAAAGGTCTCTAACCAATCTATCAAATTTACAAAGATATCTAACTTCCAGACTAAGGTTTGAAATACTCCATTTCCCTTGTCTCCAGTGTTAAGGGTTGTTTCATTATTTACCCTGTGACTTTCAAACCTTTCCTTACCTGTTAAATGCATTTAACCATACTACACACTGGGTTGTCAAGAGGGTTATATGGGTTAACATGTACTCTAGGTTGTGTCTGATAACTTCAATGCTAACATTCTGGACTAGCCAACCACAGGCTATCAATGAGAGTTGTGTGTTTCAATCCCTTGAGTCCTTATTCACTCAGGCTTTTTGACTATTATTAGGTACCAGCCGTGTAAGTGATATAGTGAAACAGCTGATACATTTGAAAAAATACTATGTAACTCAGGGCCATCCAACCTAGACTGCAGTAGAATATTGGAATAAGCTTAGAAAAATATGGGCAGATGCCACTGTAGGCAGAGGGAACAAGCCTAAGGGGTAATAAATAAGAGTTACAAGTTTGGAAAGAATTTTTCTTAAGCCAGATCACCGTACTGTGGAAGATGCAAGCAACTGGATTCATTTACAGCAGCCTAAATTTAGTTTTTCTCCACCTCCCTTTGCTCCTCTCAGCAGACCAGAGACCACAAGGAACACACTCAACACCTCAGCTCTTCTTTGGTTCTTTCCTATCTCCAGACCTGCCTGAGTATCTGGCAGCACCTTAATGGCATTTCATCAATTGCCTCAGCTGCCCGTCAGCTGATTCTAAAGTCCAGAGTGAGGTTCTTTTCTCAAAGGAAAGGTAAGCCAAACCACCGCACAGCGTATTACCACCACCTAGAAAACTAGAAATATTACTTTCAAAAAGCCATTCTTTCCAAAAATGCCTGAGGTAACAAATCATGCAATGGAACCATTACAAAGAGATGGTGCACTGGCACCCACAAAACTGTATTCCTTGGGTGACTACCCCTTAAGAAATTGGAACCAGTCAATCTGGAGGGAATGCAATCCAGTAATTGAAAGAGCATTTGGAAAGCTGATGGAGTAAAGTGGGAAACAAGCGCAGGCGCGCGCGCGCGCACACACACACACACACACACATCCCTACCGAGACAACTATGGGAATATACTAACTGCATAAGACATTTTTAGGCACCTTGAGCACACTAGTCTCTGGACATGCCAATATGGGAACCTTGGGACATTTACCTATTTTTATGTAAGTGAGGGGGCTTTTAACCAGGAGTTGTAACATGTTCAATACCTGACCTGGACAGAGCACTGAAGGTATCCTCATCTACACACTACCACCAGCTGCCTCTCAATTGATGCTAAAGTCCAGAAGACATGACCTCTTGACACTTCTACCCCTCCCTAGTGTAGACCATGCCTGGACCATCCAAATCTAGAATCAAGATGTATCTAAACCAGCATTCTCTCCATCCCCATTAATTTCTGAATGTCCCAAAGGCTATTAACAGATATGGGACAAGAGTTCCATCGGACAGACATACCTCAGTTTCTCGTAGGGCTAAAAGTATACACAACACACTTTCGGCAACTATGGACCTAACATTTATTGAAGAACTGGAATTACTCTGAAATCACCCAAGTACTTTCTCTACCCCAACCCTTGCGAACCATTAAGAAAGACCCTTCTTAACTCAAATTACATAGAATTTTCCTCAGCCTGTGGCATTTTCTGGGTCAGGCAAACAAATTTCATTTAATCTCTTTGCTACTCAGAAATGGTAGCTTCAAGCTGAACTGTAAACTACAATTTTGGTTAAATTCCAGGTATCAAACTTTGCCACCTCTCAAATATAAAATGCCAACTATGTCCTGGTTGGTTAACACTTAAAAAAAAACTTTCAAACAAAAAAGGAACTCAATTTATTTCCTTTATAAACACAAGAAAATGGTAACTGGAAATATATAGCTCTTATTCCTTCAGAATCTTATTCCAGATTTAATTGCCTCATCCCATCTAACACTCAGAAAAGTGTACTATAACAAAAAGTTACAAAGAAAATAATGGAAACGAATACAGTATTTTTAAAACAAGCTCTTGCCAGTTTTATTAAAGAAAAATTTTGCATGATTACTTTTCACCAGTCTGTTCTGGCATGCTTCTAATGATATCAGAATCACCTAGAAAATAAAACAGTAATTTTACAATTTGTTTAATGTGAGGTATCAATCATCAAACTAGCAGTGATTATCCTCAAATTATCACACTAACTGTGCTGTCCCTTCTTGAGGTTATTCAAGTATTTCTACAGTCATGGACACTGTCCACACAAAACACATCATATACATCAATTGGTTTATTACCAGCATATATAAAACCAGACCTAGGGTAAGAACTAGGGCTGGTGACACATGCATGGTCTTAATATAGCGAATGTTTAGCCTGCTCTGATTATCACAAAATCAGAACAGCGAGAATATTCGCCATTATTTTATGATTTTAAAATGTCGAAGTTCAAAACATAAAATGATGCATTTTTTGTAAGGCACCTGTTTTCCTCTAATTTTATCAGTCTGTTCTCAGGAAGCTAATAAGGTACGATTTCACCTAATTATTCTTCCCCTTTATCATTTCAGCTTTACCAAGGCCCTGAGTATAATATCTGAGGTGCTTCATGAAGTAAAATTCAGTTCTCATAAATTAAAAAAAAAAATTACAACAAAGTAATTATGTGCTAACATCATCTATATTCTGTAAAATACTACTGCAAATTTTCCCTTGCTATATCTAAGTTCTCACTAACAGAATGGAGAAACCAAAAACATCTGTATAGCAAGGAATACTTGTATTATAAAGGGGAAAAATTATTTTGCTTGAAAGAGCATACCTGGGTCAATGATAGCCAGTGTGCATACTCTGTAGTATTTTCCACATGCTGTGCCCAATTCAATGTTATTACCACTGTAGTGATGGACACCAGTTTTGGCCAACATGGCGTAGTACTCTATTTCAGATTTCCTGTGGAAATCAAAAACAGATAAGTAAATAAATGCTGACATTTAACTGACAGACTTAGTTACTACTTCTCTCACTAGACTTTTAGTATTATCAGAATCAAACAGTAATTAAGCAGTTATTACTGTCAAAAACATGATGATAACCACCAGCTTATACAATATGCCCTTTCCTTGGATCTTTTAAGAGATGCCCAGTACTATCTACTGGGCATACACTGTGTTTAAGATGAAATTTACACTAATAAACACAAGAGAGTAAGGTGCAAAAATAAAGCATTGTTTACTCAGCATTTACTACATGCCAGACTATAATTCTCATGGTAATGTCTAAAGTATTAAGTCATTTTTTAAACTAATGAAGGTGAGGTGCAGAGTAAGAGGCAGAGAATTCAACAGGCAGATGGCTTTATAAACTCCAAGAGAGCCCTAACAGTACCCTGCCTTTACTGAATGTGCCCACAAACCAACAGTGTCACAAGGTGCTTCTTAAAATAATCTCAGCCCCCTTTGTAGACTCACAAGGTCAGATCTGTATTTTAACAAGATCACTCTTACGATTGTGTGCACTGGTGTTTTAAGAAGCGCTGTCATAGAAGAAAGGTTTGGTGTAAGCCCAAAACACAAGATGGGATACAGAACACCCCAAACTCTGTCAATTAAGGAGACAACTTAAATAAAATGCTAGGATATTATACTTTACCACTGAAAAAATCAACCCAGTTAGTAGGCTGTATATACAATATATTCTGCAAAGTCCAAGTTTCTAAAACCCATTTACCATTCCCTTTTAGTTCAATTTTAAAAGTGGCCAAGCAAAACCATGGGTCTGGGTTTGACAAGTAGGATGAATCAGGTTAATTCAGGACAGCCTGAATTTTTCCTATCTATATTATACTGAAACAAGGTGATGCATTCTAGTAGCTTAAAATAAAAGCACCTCAAACCAAAAAGGCAGGATACAGAAAAATAAAGTATGTGTCTGTTTCCCCGAAAGGACGCTGGGTGGTTTTTATCTTCTGCCACACACTTCTCTCCAAGCTTACATACACATGGCGAGAACATGCTTTGGGAGGTTGTAAGAGCCAAACCCAATAAGCATCCTTAACTCACTCTACAAGCATTCCCTGGTAAAATATTTCACATAAAGTCAAATTCATGCTACCCAGACCGCATGTTTTCACTCCTAAATACTTGCTCATAGTGAACTTACAGAGACGACACACACACACTCAGGTTCCTTCCATTACCTTAAGGCTGGGCAGTTGTTGGCGAGGATGACCAGTTTAGCTTTGCCTTGTCTGATCATTTTCAGAGTCTGCTTGTACCCCAGCACGTACTTTCCACTTTTCATAACAAGTTGGAGCCTAGAGTTGATCGACTCCAGCGACTTTTTCTACAAGGCAAACATTTAATACGTACGCGAAAACCTTGCTTGTTAACCATCGCTAAACGAGATCCACCCAGACTTCTGGAAGCAGAGCCCCTTAATAAAGCCTTCGAAGTAGAGAGCCCCAAATTACTGACAGGGCCTCTCGGGCTCCTTATGGGGCCCTCCAAATGCCAGTGGTCATGCTGTCTCCCCTGTGTGCCAAGATCAGCCCGCCCCGGCCGAGACTCCTCTCCACGTGAATCGGCTTCCGGCATGACCAGTTTGCTGCACTCACCGTCTTCTTTGCGGCCACCATCCTTCAGCCTTAGGTGCGGGATGGCCCCCAACCTAGAATATACAGAGGACACGACAGACAGTTTAGGATTCGGAGTTCCAAACAACCATGAATAGGACTCCCCGCGATGCCTAAAACTCCGCCCGAACGAGCCCACTCACCAAGTACAGCCGCCAAGATGGCCGGGGAGAGAGAAAGGAAGAAGTTCCCACAATGCAAAGCTTTTCTCCGTACAGACTAGCGCCAGGGCCGGAAGCGGAAGCAAATCGTACGTGGAAGGGGC